ATGTTCTTGAAACGTTCAATATTCTTAAAACAACATAATTGACAAGATAATTTTAATTAGACTGCTGTAGAAGGCTATCTGTGGTGTTGCAGCTCACAAAAACTATGTCAGTAACAGAAAGTAAAGACAGCACACACATTTTCCCAGAGCACTGTGCTTCCTGTGTCTAACAGAATTATACTGGCAGCACAGTCACAGCAATTTCCACATTAGTTGCTGAAATGCAAACATCTGCATATATTTGCACATACACCTATGCTCTCCCTAAGTACTAATATGATTATCCCTAATAATATATAGGTTATTATATGATCCCTACTCTTTTGGGATAATGGTAGTCAAGGCCAGGTTGGATGGGGCTTTGAACAATCTGGTCTAATGGAAGGCATCCTTGCCCATGGCAGTGGGGTGAAACTAGATGATCTTTAAGGTCCTTTCCAACCCAAACCATTCTCCAACTCTGTGACTTCTAGGAGGACCTTGCATTAGCCAGCCAGCGACCTAAGGGAAGAAGATGCCACTGCTGAAAGGTTGAGTGAGCTCATCACATTCCTTAAAAGATTCTGAGAAGACCTCTTGACTTCCTTCTAGGTCCATGAAGAACACAGGTCATCCAATGATGAACATCCCAAGAGAAGTAATAATATGACCTTGCACTTCAGGCAAAAAAATAACTCTGACCACTGCCAAGACACAGTAAATGGTTTATTAAGAACCTCTGTAAAACATATATATAAATATGTGTGTCTCCAAAGCTCCTAGCAAAAAACCTCACTGCCTGAAGAAGTGCTGTGTCTAAAGAAATCAAGCCAGGGAAACAGTACTGTGTTATGATTTTTCACATACAACATTTTTCTCTAATAATGTTACGCACTAATTTACGATTCCTCATTAAAAAATAAATATTTTGGGAAAACTGACAGATTGTTATGTAAAAAAATTCCTTGTTTTTGAAATCAAATAAAATGTTTGGTCTAGAAAAAACTTATGTATATGCCCTTTTGTAATTTTATAATTTAATAATGGGGTTTTCAGCACACATTGTACAATGAATCTTGAAACGTTTTCTCATAACTCCTATTCCAAAAGCTATCTGTTTTTCTTCAATATATGTTTTTACAGTATTTTTAATAATAATAGACAGTAATGTTGTTCAATATATAAAATCTAAATTCCATAGTTCAATTCTTAGAAAACAAATAGAAGTTGTCTCTCCAGGTTTATAGAGGCTTGATATTATGAAGTTTTCAGAATTGTTTAAAATAAATACTCAGAAATAGTGAATGCTTAACGCACAACCACAAATAAGGAAACTATTTGGATACTTGTGTATGACTAACATATGTTGCTGTTTCCAAAACTAATTCTTAAGTTTCAGAGGCTGATATGTGACTAAACCCCCACATATTAGTAGAAAACAGATAAGTTTAACATCAAAATTAACATAATGGCAATTTGTGAAAAGATTGTTAAGACTTTCAGGGCCATACACCCCTAACAGAGAATAAGTTTTTCTCTGCTGTCATCAAAAATGCATACAAATGTTAAACTTGCCTGACCTTTAGAAATTATCTGAAGCACAGTAGTTAAACAAACAGTCCAATAATTTGACATACTATTCCCCATTATTTACTGACTAAAGTCACTTACTATAGATAATTGTCAGAAACTAAGAAGTAAAACCAGCACTTATATTACCCTGTTAATTTTCAAAAGGTTTTTGTAAAGCATTTTATTTACAAATAGTATATATGATACAAGGTACACTGCCCAGGAGTATTTTGACCTGACATTCAGAAAAAGGTCTTTGTTTGCTCAGTGAAAAGCATTGCATTAAAAAGAACTTCTAAATTAGAAGGCTCAAGAGCACTTTCTTTCCTTTAAAGCTGTGATGAAATACATACTACTCCTGCTTTGAACATCATAGTTTACAAAAGACAATAATATCCATATTTATACACTCACATAGTACCTAGGGACTGAAACCCATTGTATTGGTTTAAATTAGGAAAATAGGTTACAGTACCATATTAAGAGACTCATTATTACCAATTCATTGACAAACTGAAAAGCTTTCTTAAAAGGGGCTGGTAAACATTGTTTATCACTTTATTAATAATTGAATAAAAACTATAAGAGTATAGTTACATCTGAGCATTACATTAGGCCCAGGAGATCTAGAAGCCAGAGCTAGAAATTTTGGTATACAGGAATAAAACTCACAACAGTCATATTAAACTGATAACATGATCCAGGAGAAAATTAAGATGGAATTAAAGAAGGTAAACAGTTTACCTAAGAATAATCAACAAAGAAAATAAAGAATGAGGGCAAATAACATGTAGCTCTTCTGGTATTTTGGTGGTGAAAGTTACCATGAGCTAAAAGTGATCAGCAATACAATACCTCAGCATAAAAGACAACATATTACCTTGAGCTGTAAGCTAATCTTTATGATTTACTTATTGGTAAAGTTACAGCTGTTTTTTTTATAGAGCACTCTCTATCTAAGGAATACAGAAGAAATTAAAGGAATTCAGCAGAAAATACTAACTACCAGAGGTCTAAAAAAAAGTGACAAAGAAAGCAAAAATTAAATAATGAGCAGTCTTTTAGTTGAGAGGAAACTGAGTGGAGATATAACAGATGACAGGGAAAAACATCCAGAATGAGCATGCAAAGTTAAAGCTCATTCTGCTTATTCTGCAGAAATACTACGTGTTTGTGGTGACCAGAAGGGATCCTTTCTCAAAAGCTATTCCTTCACTTTCTATAAATTTAGAGTATGTACTCCTCAGTGCCTGGGCACTGAATTTGTAAATAGGATGGAATTTTCTTTGGTCAGTATTCCATTTTGTATCAGTTTCTTGCTTCTGTAGATACACTACACACAGTTAACTAGCTTCACCATGATTTTATCTACTTCAATCACACCAGATGAGTTTAACAATGAAGAAACAAATTTTCTATCACGGATCAAGAGAAGCCTTTAAATACAGCAGTGCAAAGTCTGCAAACAGAACTGCAAGAAAAAAAACTGTATAGCAACTACAGTTCTCAGGTAAAAGCAGATACCTCAACTGTTTCTCTAGGTATACTTTTACCCAAAATGCCCAACCTGTACATTATCTTCAAAAGCTGGTGACTAACTTCCCACACTTCCACACCTTAATGCCACTTTATATGCCTCCCTTGCTCTTCACCTGGCCATTTTCATTGCTTAGGATTTCACACACTGTAAAAAGAACATTTGCTCAACACACAGTTAGATTTAAGCTCCTGACTTCTAACACAAGCTCAGCTTTTGATAGTAATAGCTACATACCATTTGGACATGTCATCAGAACATAAAGTTTATTAGCAAATAAAGCATTTTGCTTTAGTATATTCTAAGAAAGAGACATTCCATATTCCATCTCTGTTGTAGCACTGCTGCATCAATAGGACTTCTGTGAGTTTAAGTGAGAGCCCGATATGAATAAAATTAACTCAAATACCTCTTTACAGAACTGAGCACTATGTCCAGAGGCATGCAAATATTAAAACTATACCCAATATCTTAAATAAGACCCAACATCACTACATTAATTCATTCTTACCTTTTAGTTACATTCTAGCAGTGACTTTATAAGCAGTACATTCATTTTCATGAAAAAAAAAAGTTGAAAAGTTAACCAATGACAGTTCAGAATGGCATCTGCTTTTAAAGCACTACACATGCTTGCTACTATGCAAACCAAGTTTTAACTGTCATGCTGTCAAGAAAAATGATAGTTCCCTAGTCATATCTTATCTTTTTAGGAAAGTTAAGAACTACAGAAGACTTTACAATAGAAAATTGTTTCATATATTTAACAAAATCTGCCTTTTGCATGAAAACCCAGAGAGATGTTATATTTGAAGCTGACAATGGGGAAAAAAAAAAGGCGCAAAACCCCAACTAATGAACAAAACACACAAAAGTGGGAAGCATTTCAAGTTTTATATGTGCCTGTGCTTTTATTTCCTTAGCCTTCTCTCAGCTTAATACAATATAAAAGTCCATGAATAAAAACCTGACCATACATAAAGCAGTCTTAGAGCTGCACTGGGTCATTAACTGTGATAGACCTTCTTAAGGAATATAACTATGTGCTTATTAAGAAAAGTCCCAGCCTGAAAATCACCTTAAGTACAGTGCCTTTTCAATGTCCAACAATTATAGGCATTATCTGCAGTTATATTGCTAAATCTAGCCGACTTTTGAATGCTCCCCTAAATTTGGTACCAAATTTGTTGTATCATTAAACAAACAAAACAAAAAAACCCAAGAACAACACACTCCCAAACCAAAAAGCTATGCATACTTTTCTGATCTAATGAAATGAAGCTCATCATATTTAAGGTTTTTCTTTGGTTTTTTGCAACAAATATTGTGGGATTACCTTGGTATTTGAAAATCTGGAAGTAAAACAGAACTGTAGTTGATAGTTAAGGTAGAATATCTCTGATTAACCAAGGGAGTTAGTGGAGAACATTCTCTATAATGAAAAACTGCTTCATTTGAAATGGCTTAAATCTTTTCACTCTCAGGGCAGTTAGCAGTGTACACTTCTTTGTTCAGGTTGCTAAGGAAGGGGACTACTGAAGGTACATAATTTTTTATTAGTTGTTTTTCTTTAAGGTGGTTCAATGTTGTTTTTTTCACTCTGTAGCAAATGTACCTACAACCTCTGTGTGGCACTCTGTTCATTTTTTATTACTTAAATGATTTCAGAAGAACTAAGCAAACTATATGAATCTGACTTACTGTCCTTATGAGCAAAGGGGGAAGAAAATAATTGTGAAACATTTAAAGTGGGATTTAATCTCCAACAGCGTTAATGATAATCCACATATTTTATTAGAAGTTTATGCTTAATCCACAAATGTTCAGAAAAATAAAAAAGCCCAAACGAAGTATGATTCAAAAAGAATAGCAGTTGTATTTACAGTTAAGCCATCCAACAAAAAAAACATACTGAAATCTCAGGTGCACTGCTGTGCATCTCTTTCTGGACCTCTTTCAGGACCTCGTTGTTTGTTTTTCCTTAAGACACCTAAAATGACACAACGAAGTAAACAAATTTCACAGAAGAGTAAATGTAGCCATTAAAGATGCCGACATTACACCTCTAGTGATACTTAATCCTGCTTCTCTGTAACAAACAGCAACTACACACCCGAGTGACACAAGTTCAGCCAACTGCTGGCGGCACCGCTCCTGCACCGCGAGAGAAGGCGCGGCATCCACTGCCCACGGCACCGGCGAGAGGCTGCGCCTCCTTCCCCGCGCTCACCTCCCGCGGCGATCCTCTTCCCCTCCTTCCTGCCCCTCACCCCGCTGGAAACTTTCTGCCTGCCGCTGACACGGCTTCCGAGCCGCTGGGGCAGCGGGATGCCAGCGCCGCCTCCCAGCCCTCCCCGCCGCACCCCCGCCGGGAGCAGCGCAGCCTCAGGGACCCGGCTAAGGTGCCGGAGCACGAAGCGGTTCTCGCCGAGCAAACCGATGTTGCAACCCTACGCGGAGGGCTGCCTCCCGCCTTCCTCCTCCGGCCCTCGCCGCTCGGCCAGCAGCGGGAGGAAAACTTTCCAGAAGACGCTTGCCCTCTCCCGGCACTCGAGGCGTGTCGGGCCGGTCCAGGCAGGCGTGCGGGGCTGTTACCTGATGTCCCCGCTCGGCTGCAGGGCAGGGCAGAGTCCCCGCGGTCCCCTTCATGCCCGAGGGGCTGCCGAGCCCGCCCGGAGGCACACGCCGTCATCCAGCTGCCTCCCCGAGGGCTGCGCCTCCTTCCCTCGCCCTGGCGGGGCGGTAGGCGCGGGGCGGGCGCCGCTCTCGGGGCCTCGGCGGCGCGGCAGGGAGGGAAGGAGGAACGGAGGGAGGGAAGGAGGGACAGAGTGCAGGAGGGGGAGAAGGAGGAGGAGAAGAAGCTGAGCAGAGGGCGGGAGGAGAGCTGCGCCCTCCCATTCTCCGCCCCAGCCGCCGAGCGGACACACAGCGGACGGGGAGCAGCCGCGCCGCCCGCGCCGCTGCCCCGCCATGGGAAGTGCAGGGGGTCCCTGCGAGCGCCTCAGCGCCAAGGCTGAGCTCTGTCTGCCCGGCTTTTGGGTCGGGCAGGGCAGGGTAGGGCAGGACAGGGCGCAGCCGGAGCCTCTGGAGGGCGCCGCTATCCCGCTTGGTGCTTTCGGAGAGCGCGCCTGCGCTCGGTGCTGGGGATGGAGTTTGGGATCGTTGGCGGGGACCAGTGCGGGAGGTAAAGGGGGAAACTGGCCGTGACAGAGAAGAAAGATGACGTGCAGATCGGGAAGATGAATGATAAAGACCTTCTTTTTTTTTTTTTTTTTTTTTCTTTTTTTTTTTAATGACAAATTTTACAAGAAAGGTGTTCAGAAAGGCAGAAAGAAGAGTGAATACCAATGGGATATCTGAAGAGGAGAGAGGAGTAGGAAAGGGCTGTCGGGCAACAAAGAGGAAAATGTTTCCTGTGAGTGGTCAAGAGCAGGGTTTTGGAAAATGAGAAGATAAGGTGTGGGCAAGCCAAAAAATTTACTGTGCTTGGCAGGAAATACATGTGAAACCGAGATGATGGGTGTGGAGAAGTTTGACTGCCTTCTCCCAGAGTTTAGAAAAAGGAGCTATTGAGAAAGTGATTTTAACTTTAAAGAGATTTTATATAGGGTAAATAGTCATAAATTAAAGTATGGGAAAAGTAAGAAATAAGCACTGCAGGAATTGCTGGACAAGAAGGAACTCTGTGATAAAAGGAACAAGCCACAGCTTGAAAGAGCTAGTGCATCTGAACAGAACACATACAGTACTTGGCTGAAATGAGGTAGGGGTATTGGTTCTATATGGGATAGAAATTACACTGTCCAGAAACTTTTTCTGTAAGAACTGTGCAGTATATCTTGTCTTTTTCTGGCAAATCATGCCATCCCACATGGGTAGCGGAGAGTTGGATTCAAGCTCTCCATACTGAACTTGCCTTTACAGCCAGTGTAGCAAAGTGGACTCTGAACACCCAGGACTAGGTGTAAAAGCAATATTTCCTACAGAGTTGATATCATCCTAGTCCTTGGAGAACCGAACTGAGCTTTAATGTTTAGTCAACCCAATTTGAACCATATATGGTCATGTAGATTCAATGCTTTAAGTATTTACTCATGGGAAAGGATTAAGTTCATGCTGCTGAATCAAATTGCCCATGAATGTTTACTGTCCCTCAACCTGGAAGATGACAGAGATATGAGACAGGATACACACTGGGATATATGGAACTGGAGCAGAAATTACCTTGTTTATACTGAATTCTGTCATTGAAATATTTACAAATATTTACTGCATAAATGAGAGGAAAAAATGCTGAACATCAAATTCATCTCTTCATCCAGATGATTAGTTATGGGTCTAATAACTCTTCCTCTGTTGACTTCCTGCAAGTTTTAGCATGACACTTTAAAGGGCTTTGTTTTTAAAGTCAGAGACCCATTCTGTTCTGTTCTAACTCCTTGTATTTCAGCAACTGTGGGAGCAGCTGTAGTGAACTGTAGTAAACTTGCATCTGGCACAAGACTTCTGTTGTGTGGGTGATTTACAATAAGCAGAGGATAGCTGGGGTATAGGTTGGATTGATACAGAAAAAAAAAACCAAACAAGAAGAAAGAAGAAAAGCTAGCTTGCTTTAGTGTAGGACTATGTAATCCATATATTTTCCTTTTTTTCTCTCTTTATTTCTGCCCTTTACTGTGCAGAATCTTTCTTCTTAAAGCTTATCAATCCTACCACTGTACTTATGTCTAACAATAGTTCTACATATTTTGTATATATAGAAATTTTTATAGAAGTTGTTGCCAGAGACCTGGAGGACGATACTTCAGTAGCCATCTCTTGCATAAAAATGGTGTGCCAGTCTGGGCTTCTAGATGCTGTGGTAGTATTGGTGAAAATAATGATGGTTAATAGTAAATGTTTAGCTCTTTGTTTGTAGGAGTTGGAAGTTCTCTGGGAGTTGCCTTTGGAGCTGCTGCTAAGGACTGGTAAAAATTCTGCCTATATGAAAGAGGGTGAAATTAGCATTTTCAAGTTATTTCTGACCTTTATTGTCTCTGGTTTTTTTGGTGGCCATTATAAAGATCTGTAGCTAATCAAGAAATCTTTTGTGAAAGGCCTCTCTCAGAGGTGCTGTTTTCTATCAGTTTGTACTGTGTGTAACATATTTCCTTTGCTCCCTTGAATTGTTATGTATCTGAATTTAAGATAGTGTACTGCAGATTATTTTCCTCGATACAGTAGCAAGTTAAATCAAAATCAGTAGAAAATTCAGTTTCTTAAAACTATGTATTTGCTAAAATAGCACAATGTACGTAGATTTACAAATCCAAAATATTATTTTTAAGATTATTGGTACAAGTAAAATGCTCACAGTGTGTTTTAATCACTTGGGTAGCATTAGAATTTGATATGTTTATCACCTATATTCAAAGGTAGGAATAACTTGTGCATAAGAATCTATTCCATAACAAATGTAGTATTGCATTATTGATAGCAGCTATAAAATCCCTGGAGAAAACACATTTATTTTGAGTGGCTCTGTATTCACTTCTTTTTGAAGACAGATGGCTTGTACAATGAAATAAGCAATGAGTGAAACATAAACTTAAAGATGTTTGGTTTTGTAATTAACTGGCTAACATGTGAATGGGTTCAGTCTTGTGGCATCTATACCATCGTGTTCACCTTATCCTTCCTTACCTGTCCCCATGCCCCATCCACCCCTCATTGGGCATGTTGCTTATGTCTTTTTTTGGATTCCTACTCAGCTGTAAAAGAAGCTAAATGACTTTTCCAATAAAGAAACTCAAGGTCAGAGCTGGGAGTAGCTCATATCGACAGCATGGATCCACCTGTACTCAGCTGGCTTGTAGCAGCTTACCCATTCTTCTCTAAAGATGCAGCCTTTGGGTTATGGTATGACTTCTCATTGTGCTGTCATGTACCATGTAGCTTTTAATCTGCCAACATAGCCCTACCCTTCAGAAATTGTATACTGGCACGTGAAAGAGCTGTGTTGTTTCTGGAAAATCTCTCTGGCTCATGCTACATGTCCAATACAGTTGCAACCCCCCAAAAAAAACCAAATGAAAAAAACCCCAAAAGCAAACCCTAACAACAAAGCCAACAAAACCCCTAGACTTCCTAATGTTTTCAAGGATTATGCCTGAGTAATCAGCTTCCTTCTGAGAAAAAAATCTTGGGAGGTTTTATGAGGCCATCTCCCTGGACACCATCCAATCTGTGTAAGTTCAAGATCCAAAAATGCAAGGTGGTCTACCTCAGGACTAAAGGATGCAACAACTGTCCTGCAGCTATATACCATCATCTGCTTTTTCTGTGAGGACTTATATAAAATATAGAGCAAGCCCTTGACAGCATACTATCCCCTTCAAGAAAGACAGAGCTTTATCTGAGTTCCATGGTTAGGTATCAGTAATAGCTCTCCTCTTGAAATCTAAGGGTAGGATGACAGGGTGTTTTTTCACATTCAGACCATGTCCATGAAAAGGTCCCAGTTTAGGTATAAGCTCCAGAGGACTGTAGTCCACAGGCAACCTTTAGTGGCTTTTATAACCCTGAGATCCTGAAGCATGTGGAAATTCATCCATGCTCCTCTTCAGTTTTTCTGTTGCCCATTTTGTTTCTCATACAGTATCTGGAATCTATGATTGCCTCTCAAAGTTGTTTATACTCTTTGTATAGCCTACAAAAAGCTACGTGCATCCTGAGTGTTCTGGAGAATGCTTTTGAAGATTCCTGTCTGCTTCTGTTCATTCTACATGAACTTCAGCAATAATTTCAGGATTCATTTGTAAACTAAGATTTGCAGCTTTTTCTGGCACCCTCTCCACTGAAGGTCCCCAGTGTGTAGGAACTGGCTCAGTCCAAGGCTCCTTTCAGTGCAAACCTACTAGGTCCGACCAAGAGGAAGCCCAGCCAGGATATTCTCCTCGTTGTTTGTTCCTCATAGGCATATTCTTTACATGCCTTCCTTGTCTCCTTTTTTCCTTCATCCTTCTAGATGTTTTTTTCCTCCTATATTTGTATGTACACTTTAAAAGATTTCTTCCTTCAATGCGATTTTACTGTACTTGATGTAGTCTACACATTTTGCTTGTCTTGTTGTACCCTTTAGATCTGACCAATATCAATGCTCTGTTAGCAGAGTGAACCCAGTTCTC